GGAGTCATTCCCCCTAAGTGAAACCACAGCACATTTGGAGTTTCATCCTGCAGCGCCAGGTAATCCATTGTTCCTTGTTGGCAAGCATTGGCACGAATTAAGTGTGGACAACATCATGCCCTTTGAACAAAGCAAAGCTCAACACATGTTTTGAAGTGGCCTTGCTGGAAAATTCTTGCCCTGGCAATCGTGCTTCCGATGAGAAACACCTTCCACTTGTTATGATGGAAATTGAATCTCAAAACTGTTTGCTCTTAGCATCGCAATTAGGTCGGAGGCCATCGCTGGGTGGAGGCCATTCCAATTAGGTTGGAGGACATCACCATTAGTCTATTAGTTGATGCCCAAGTGCCAATCAGCGGCCTTGGTGTCCTCGCCGCCGGCGCCCAGCATGTTTCGCCTGACACCGGCGCGTCCTAAATGCTTGCTTGACCAACAGGTAGTCCCGCCTTGTAACTATACTACCCAGTGGCTATTCAAGCGTATTGAAGCTCTGGGTCAGGGTCTTGTCGATCTGCATGCAAAGACACTCATCTGTTCTCCAATTGGGCCAGAGAGACCCAAGCAGCACGCGGCTGGCTCCCTTTCCAGAGTCTCCTCTGCCTTACCGCAAATCCAAGCTTGGTCCAGTTCTGCGCGAATTTATTTTGGGGGGAACCTCTTTCTGTGGGGCTACAAGAAAGCTCCAGGTGATTGAAAATTGGTCTACCTCCCAGCAACTTCACGCGTTTGAATCAACAAACCTGGTTATGCCAGGAAACTCTTAGATCAAGCAAAGCAAAATTAACAACCCTTCATGTCAAGCTAATTACAGTAGATCCATCTCTCCACAAATCAAAATGTGCTCACTCGTGCATAAGCCTACTGCCCACAGCCCAGGTGTGAGCGAGCTATCACATGCGGTGGGAAAGATGTCTGCGTGTGAGCCCGCAATAATCTACTTGTGAGTGTGAAGCGTGTTCATGAGGTGATATTATCTTCAGCTAGGAGCTAGGACTGTCCCTCGAAATTGCCGGAAGGTGTAAAGGAACCACTCTGTTGGCCAAAGGCTAAGGTCATACTTTGACTATGTAAATGCTGCTGATCTGCCGATCAGCTCTGAAGTCGATGTTTACATGTCCAAGATTGTGAGGCCATGTTGGATGTCATTTGGCTGTTGTCTGCACAATGAAAACCATGAAAATGGTTTAAGTCATGTGGTTTGGTATGCATACAGCATACAGCACGTTTGCCCTGAGCTGTTGACGGAAGACATCCACAGCCAAAGTCGTTGGTGTGTCTCTGTGCACCTGTAATTGGCCAACCAATGAGCCCAAAAAGGTGAATAATACAGGAAGCCACCAACTTGTAGCCAACAAACTGGCACTAAGTCCCTTTGACAACATTCATTCAAAATCTCTACAACCCTCTCCTTCTGGCCAACAGAGTATGAAGTTTGGCAAATGCATCCACAACAAAGCCGGCCTCAATTCTCTATACAGTAAGCCTGTTCTTTCAGTGGGTCTCAAGCACATTTCTGAAGACTTTACTCCAAATACATATCCTGTTCACAGTTCACAAAGCGTTTGAGTATGTCTTGCCCTGACCAATGAGTATTTTCTCTTCATTCGTTCTTATAGGGCCCCTTGGGCAGTCCCTTACTCCATGTGTGTCCTTTTCATTGTTTTCTGTTTTTCGTTCAGACCTATTACTGTTATTGTGATTTGTTTACCTGCTATTTGTGTTTTCTGACTTAGAAATGTTGTTTTTCTTTAGACGTTAGACTTTAGACTGTCTTTCTGTAAACTCGGATTGCGATGACAAGCACGCGCAAACGTCATGGTTTTCGACAGCTATTCCACCTCCCAAGGTGATTCCCAAAATTCCTGGCCTCGGCCTGCAATGTTAGCAGAGCCTCTGAAACGAGGTCTAACCGTACCACGTGCCTGCCAGGCCAAACCCGCAGGGCAGCTTGTTGAATTCTTCCTGTGACTCTATATATACCTGAGAAGGGAGGGGACGAAAGCCAGCCTCCGTAAGAACACAACCATAATGTTATGGGGGGTGAATTCGAGTCCGCACTGGAGCCGCTGTCAAGCATGGGGAAATAGACGGCAGGGGTGGGAAGTCTCTCGCAGTAAAAGCCGATATGACAAACTCTCATTCACATGTTGGGGTGGGGTGCCCCTTTTCTTTTGGTCAAGGGGCGTTTTCAAGATAAAAAGGGCACCCCTAAGTGACTGAGGGGCGCTTGCCTGCTGTTTGTTTCTCTTGCATTGTAGATGGACTCATGAACTCGGCGCGCTGCTAAGAATGGACCGATGAAAGTTTACTGCCAAGATCATGTGATTGCTGAACTTCGGATTGCTTGCTCACACTTCCAACTTCAAATGTCCAAAGAAAACCTCCACGTTCCCTGTCCTGTCCTGAACGGATAACATCCTTTCTGGTGCTCCCTTCCACTCTTACAAACCACCCTCCCCTATCTCCTCTAGAGGTCGCGTTCTGTCTCTCTGCTCCTATTACCCACGGCTGAGCGACGCACTTCTCGCTTGCCTGGTGAGCC